CTTTCCCCTTCTGAGAGAAACCCCTGAGCTGGGGAGGCTTCCATTTTGCATCCCACAAAAGGCCAGAATGCAAAGCAAAAAGTTGGCGTTTATTTTTGATTTATTATCCTAGTCATCAGTATCAGTAATAGTCATCTAATCCTTTTTCATTTGCAAAGTGCTTTTCGCCAACTATCCTCAAGAATAACTCTTTGAAATGGGTATTGTTATTCCCATTTATAAGATGATGAAACCGAGGCTCAGAGCATCATCTTGGTCAAGGTCACCAAGCAATAACTTGCAGAAAATGAATTTTCCGATTCCAGATCCTGAGCTCTTCCCACTGACTCGTGGAGATCAACAGTCAGCCTGGGAATTCGAAAAGCACAACCCTGAGAGGAAATTTCTCGGGGAAACCTCTGGAAGCCTCCCTGGGCAAGCAAGCAATACAGATACTGGTCTGGGAGTGTCACACCACCACAGAAGGTCAGCAGATGGACATGTCTGACCCTGCATCTCACTGGAAATCTCACATCTGTCACTTCCGTGGGTCACCAAGTCAGTACACACGACAGGAGTACAGATTTGAGCAGCTTACATTTTGCTCTTCCAGAAAAAATGACTTTATGCTAATGGGAAAAACAAATCTTAATTTCTACTTAATAGAAAGTTGTAAACTCAGCTCCAAAGCAAATCCTGTTTGACCAGCAAGTGATGTTTCTTGAGATTAGTGAATCTAATCAAGATAATTTACGAGATCACTTGCCGACTTGCTGCCAGACAGATGCTCAGAACTGATCAGGACCCCAAATGTCGCAGACCCAAGACCCCAGTCCTTCTGGTGTTTTATATACAAAGGTGCCAAAAAATGTATATACATTCTAAGAAAGCAAAAAATTGTATTAAAATTGTAATTTTTTTTTTTTTTTGAGTTGGAGTCTCACTCTCCCGGCCACCACAGCCTCGACCCGCTGGGCTCCGGCGATCCTTCCGCCTCAGCCTTCCAAGTAGCTGGAACTACAGGTGTGCGCTACCACTCCCGGCTAACTTTTGATTTATTGTAGAGATGAGGGCTCGCCAAGTTGCCCAGGCGGGTCTCGAACCCACGGGCTCAGGCAATCCACTCACCTCAGCCTCCCAAAGGCGCGGGATTACAGGCTGAGCCACCGAGCCCGGCTTAAAATGGTAATATTAAAGAAGATGAATACAAGTCACGTTTGACTTCTGCAATTACAAGAGGTGCTCAAAGTGGTTACCATTAGCGTTCAGACATTTCTGATGACGACAAACATCTCTTAACATCGCTTAAAATGTAAAGACATTTTTTGGCACCCCCGGTGTGTGTGTGAGTGTATGTGTGTGTGTGCGTTGTGTAGTGTGTATATCATCTATCTATCTATCTATCTATCTATCTATCTATCTATCTATCTATCTATCTTTTTTTGAGTTGAAGTCTCACTCTGTCACCCAGGCTGGAGTGCAATAGTTCGATCATGGCTACCGCCACCTTGACCTTCTGGGCTCAGGCAATCCTTCTGCCTCAGCATCCCAATTGGGACTACAGGCGCACGCCACCACATCTGGCTAATTTTGGGTTTGTTGTAGAGACGAGGCCTTGCCATGGTGCCGAGGCTGATCTTGAACCCCTGGTCTCAAGTAGGCTTCCCGCCTCAGCCTCCCAAAGTCCTGGACTTCTGCCACCTTGAAACTCCATCCTCCCTTCCAGATACCTAGACCAAGCCCAGTTTAAGCCTTCCAGCCCCGCTCTCTGCATGAAGCCTCCTCCTAGCTCCTCCCAGCAACCACTGCAGTTCCTCCTACTGGCCCCACCCCAGGAGCTGGGGAAGTAGACTTGGGAGGGGGGAAGTAGGGGGAGGGAGAAGGGATCAGAAGTGGACACAGGCCCGAGTTACTCCAGTGGGGCCTCAGCTACAGTTGGACCCTGCAGAAACAATATTTGAAAAGGTTTTAAGTTCCTTAGTACCAAAATTACAGTATAGGGTAGGTGCGCTGAGAATAACACGGCATCTGTGCATTAAACCAGGGCCCTAAGTAACATGACATCATTGTTTCTTTGGGAAAATGAAGTTTTATTTCAAGTACCTGATCTCAAATGAATTTTTACGACATAACTTAAAGGGGGACTGTTGTATTTATACCCACACCCAGACACAGTTTCTCTGCCTGTCAATTAAGCTGCTGTCCATCTGTTTGCCCATTCATATTGCTTTTCTTTCTTTTTTTTTTTTTTTGAGTTGAGGTCTCACTCTGTTATGATCACGGCTCACCACAGCCTCAGCCTTCTGGGCTCAGGAGATCCTTCTGCCTCAGTCTTCCAAGTAGCTGGGACTACAGGCACGTGCTACCATATTCAGCTAATTTTTCGATTTTTGTAGAGATGGGTTCTTGCTGTGTTGCCCAGGATGGTTTTGAACTCCTGGGCTCAAGCAATCCCCTCGTCTCAGCCTCCCAAAGTGCTGGGATTGCAGGTGTGAACCACTGTGCCTGGCCCACACTGCTTTTTAAAATTAAGGTACAGAATAATTATCAAAGAAATGTAAAAAGCAAAAGTTAAGATCTAAAGAATGAAGTTAGATATTTTATATTTTTTTGAATTCAACACAATGGTTTTGTTGTAAATTTATCAAAAAAAATAAATCTTACAAAAAAATCTCTTTTTTACAGTGAGACAAGGAGGCAGTGTGGTATAAAGCACAGTATGTGAGTTTGAGTGACTCTCAGGTCAAGCTAATTTCCAAGCCTCACTTTCTAGGACTAGAATTTTTTTTTTTTTTTTTGGAGTCTCACTCTGTCACTGAGGTTGGAGCGCAATGGCATGCTCACGGCCACCGCAGCCTTGACCCACTGGGCTCAGGTGATCCTTCCGCCTCAGCTTTCTAAATAGCTGGAACTACCAGCATGCACCACCACGCCAGGCTAACTTTTTGATTTATTGTAGAGATGAGGTCTCACCATGTTGCCCAGGCTGGTCTCGAACCTGTGAGCTCAGACAATCCTCTCACGTAGGCCTCCCAAAGTGCTGAGATTCTAGGTAGGAGCCACTGCGCCCAGCCGATTTTTTTTTTTTAACTGAGCTAATATAAACATCCTGCATTAAATCTGGCACACAGTGGTTATTCCTCACTCTTTCTCCCTATTATTTAACCTCTCTGAAGCTCATTGTTTTACTTCAATAACAATATTTTAAACCACATTTGATTTCCAGAAGGCTTGATTTATTTTTTTATTTTGAGTCGGAGTCTCACTCTGTCGCTCAGGCTGGAGTGCAGTGGCACGCTCATGGCTACTGCATTCTCGGCCTGCTGGGCTCAGGCAATCCTTCCACCTCAGCCTTCCAAGTAGCTGGAGCCACAGGCATGAGCCACCATGCCCAGCTAATTTTTTGATTCATTGTAGAGACAGATCTCGCCCTGTTGCCCAAGCTTGTCTTAAACCCGTGAACTCAGGCAATCCTCTCGCCTTTGCCTCCCAAAGTGCTGGGATTTCAGGCATGAGCCACCGTGCCTGGGCCAGAAGGCTTGATTTAAACTTGTCTCTATGTTTGGGTACCCGTCCATCTATATGCTTGACTTCATTAGGTTAATATCCAAAACAGACTAATATGGATGGATTATTTACTAATGAATTAAATCGATTCAAAGAGTTTATGTTGGCAATTGTAATCATCATTTGAATTGAGTCATCTATGCCTACCCCCCAGAATGCTTCATTTTCACAAGACTTTGTGGATTTCATGTTTGTTTGTTTGTTTTTCCTTTTTTGAAGACCCCCTTTTTTTGTTGTTTGAGTTGGAGTCTCACTCTGTCACCCAGGCTGGAGTGCAGTTGCATGATCATGGCTTACCACAGCCTAGGCCTCCTGGGCTCAGGCGAGATCCTCCTACCTTGCCCTCCTCAGTAGCTGGAACTACAAGCTGGCACCACCATGCCCAGACAGTGTTTTTAAAAAAACAAACTGTAGAGACGAGGTCTATGCTGTCCAGGCTGGTGTCGAACTCCTGGGCTGAAGCAAGCCTCTCTCCTTGGCCTCCCAGAGTGCTGGGAATACAGGAGTGAGCCACTGTGCCGGGCTGAAGACACGTTCAACAACCTCAACCAAGACCCACTTTGTAACGATAGTTAGCAAAGTCAGGTTTTACTGAAACAAATCAAGACATGACCCTGATGAAGGGCAATCGGATTTTATTTGAAGTCCATTCAGAGCTTATGTTGGCAATTGTAAGTAGGTTTGTCACGTGTTCTCGCTCACTTCCTGTAAGGCCCCTCTGGCTGCCAATCAGCAGCGAGGTGGGCGTGGCCTTCTGCAGCGAGCACGAGCACAACACGCGGTGGGAGGACACTGCTGTCCTCGCCCCCCCACCTCGCAGAGTCCACCCTGATGCTGGGAGTCTGTGGCTCCAACATTCTCAGGGGTCCCTGGAGGTTGGAGTTGGGGGATCTGCCTGCAGGTCTGCCTGCTGCCTGGAATGTGACACTCGCTCCTTACTTGAGGGTGTCCTAATCCTCGATTTTTCCAGGCAACTCTGTGACCACCTGAGATCACGTCGTGCCGCCCAGGCCTGAGCGCCATCATGCAGTTGTCCAATGAAGGCGCGAGAGGTTTATTATCATCCCTGTCACACCTCCCCGCCAAAAATCACATATATAGACCTGTTTTTTAAAATCATATTCCCTTTAGTATATATAAGATTGGAAAGCTTTCTTTGTTTTGAATTGATATGTAGGGTTTTTTTTTTTCCCTCTTGTAAAAGTTGTGTTTCTGGCCAGATATGTTTCTGGCTTATGACTGTATTCCCAGCACTTTAGGGGCCTGAGTCAAGAGGATTGCTTGAGCCCAGGAGTTTGAGACCAGCCTGGGCAACATAGTAAGACCTCATCTCTACAAAAAAATAACAAAATTGGCCAGGTGTGGTGGTGCGCACCTGTAGTGCCAGCTACTCAGGAGGCTGAGGTGGAAGGACTGCCTAAGCCCAGGAGGTCAAGCCTGTGGTAAGCCTTGACCCCAACTCAAAAAAAAAAGATGTGTTTCTAATGGGCCACTCCCATGCAGCATCTACAGTGTGCTCATGTATTCAAGGTTCATGTATTCAGGTGATTTAATGTGAAGCTAAAATGTCCAGTTCTCCATTAATCTATAGGAGTGATGATTTTAGATCTGATGCAGAAATAAAACCAAATGATAGGAGAAACTAGACCTATAAAAATAGTAAGTCTTTAACTTAACAATCCACTACATCTTTGATAGCAAATTTGGATTCAAATGGCCCAGAGGACAAAATGCATAATTAATGATGAGAAGATGATTCCGTCACATTCTCCTTGCGTCAGCCACACACTGGAGCCTCATTTATGCGAGAGGGACAGTCATTTTCCGGTTCTGTCTCCTTCATTCCAGTACTGTTCGGTCTGCATCTCCGTGAGTCGGGAGATGGTGCGCTGAAACGCAAAAACTTCCTCTTCTCCGGTGAACATGGAGAGCCCTTCTGCTGAGTCCTGGTGAGGAAACAGACAACAACCCAACCCCGATGAAACCACTACAAAGGCAAACTTACAGAACTAAGTAGAGGGTTTTAAAAAACATGTTCGGTTTTCCTGTTTAGATGATTTCATTCTGCATAATTTAATCCAATACACAATAAAAACAAATTGCCAGAGAGAAAACTTAAAAGGGAAAATGTTCTTTCCCAAAGTACACACCAGAAATCGGTCACAGCCAAAACCAGTAGTTCTGATCAGTGAGGAAGAGGCTGGCAAAGGCCTTTGAAACTTCATGGAGGGCCCAGGGCCTCAAGGGAGACCCTAAGAACAGGGAAGCCTTTTCCATACTGATGACTAAAAGACTCCTGTGGGTCCTGCATCATCGGGATGTGCCTGGGATCTTAGTTTGCAAAGGCCAGAGCTGCTGGGACACTTGGTCTTCAGGTCAAGTTGGGGACCCCATCCTTATGAGGCTGGTAAGCAGCCTAGGATGGGCCAGACCAACACCAACCCATGGCCACTGAATGGCCTTTGAATTGTCCTCTCTTTCCTCAGAGATTCACTATTCGGCTTCTCAGAGAAAAGTTCTAGACTCCTAAGTCCGTCTTCTCCACGGATCCCCTATAAGCCTCCATAACCCTGAGGTCACCTTCCCTGATTTCTTCATAAATTATTGGCCCCACATGCTGAACTTACCTCGACCTGATCCTCGGAGGGAAAATTTAAGAGCCAATGACTTAAAGAACTTTAGAAACTGATTTTATGCAGTCCTTGGAGTGTATTCTTTCAAACTGTCAAAGACAATATTTGAATGAAAATATCACTCCCGAGAGCTGACATCTCTTTTTTCCTTTTCTTTTAGAGTTGGGGTCTCACTCTGTCACCTGGGCTGGAGTGCAGTGGCACAGTCACAGCTCACCGCAGCCTCAACTTCCAGGTCTCAAGCGATTCTTCTGCCTGAGTCTCCTGAGTAGCTGGGACTACAGGTGTGTGTCACCATGCCCAGCTAATTATTATTATTATTATTTGTAGACAACGAGTTCTCACTATGTTGCCCAGGCTAGTCTCGAACTCCTGGACTTAAGCAATCCTCCCAGCGCAGCCTCTCAAAGTTGTGGAATTACAGGCATGAGTCACTGTGCCCAGTGACATTGAGAACTGACATTTCAAATGACCCTGGCACAGAAATTTATAAGCAGATATTTACTCCTCAATGCCTTGGTCTGAATGTTATGTCTCTCCAAAATTCATGTGTTGGAATCCTAATCTCCAAAGTGATGGTATCAGAAGGTGGAGCCTTTGAGAGTTGATTAGGTCATGAGCACAGAGCCCTCATGAATGGGATTAGTGCCTTTAAAAGAGAGGCCCCAGAGAGATTCCTCACCCCTTCCACCATAGGAGGTTTATATTTAAAAAAAGATAGTGACTATGAATCAGAAAGTGGGCCTTCACCAGACACCAAATCTGGCACCTTGACCTTGGATTTCCCCGCCTCCAGAACTGTGAGAAGTACATTTCTGTGGTTTACAAGTCACCCAGTTCATGGTACTTCATTATAGCAGACTAAGACATACACCCACCTCATCTCTACAATAAATCAAAAAATTAGCCGGGCGTGGTAGCGCGCGCCTGTAGTTCCAGCTATGTGGAAGGCTGAGGCGGAAGGATCGCTGGAGCCCAGCAGGTCGAGACTGCGGTGGCCGGGAGCGGCCACTGCACTCCAGTCTGGGTGACAGAGTGAGACTCCAACAACAACAAAAAAAAAGACATACACCCAGCTTTAAGTAGTCACATTTTGAAAGTTCACTTTCCCAAACTTTTGAGAGTACACGGTTTCTATTTAGCTCAGTAAGGAACATTCCTCATTCCAGGTGGGCTTTCCCCTCTGAGGTAGGAAGCATGGCTCCCTTCATTCTTGACCTGGGTGCTGATGATTTTAAGTTTTTGAATAACATTTCAGCTGTCAGTAGCTGAGAAACATACCCTGAATCTTCTTACGAAAGAAGGAAATGCAAGAGCCATTTGTGGCTGGCCTGGGGTGGGTTACCAGACTCCAAGTTGTGGGCATCGGGATGGGCAACCCTTGACTCCCTGCAGTGTCCCCAAGCCTAACACCCACAGGTGCTCCAAAAACATTCGCAGAACAGAGGTTGGGAGATGAATCATGTATTTCTTTTAAGCCAAGGACCTTGCTGGGGCTCCGTGGCCTTGGACTAGCCAAGCTCCATGCTTGGATGCTGCCTCATCCATTCTACAAATCCAGCAGTCATGGGGATGGACTTCCAGAAGAGGAGCACACTGTGGCAGAATGAGCCCAGCGCCACACCCAGGCGGCCCAGCACCAGCTCTGGGCTGCCAGTATCCAGCATCCAGCAGTGTGACCGTTGGCCCATGAGTCCACCTCCCTGGGCTGCATGTCTTATCCTGTGCAAAATGAAGCCTTGGACGACATGACCACACGTTTCCTTTTACCCCAAGACTGTAATTCTCTATACTTGGTGCTATCGAGAATGCTAAGATTGCTACGCTGGGTTTAGACGCAGCAGCAAATCAATGGTTCACTGGAGACTGCATTTCTTCTTCAAAATGTAGCCACATATCACACCAAAACAAGTAGGCTGCTTTAGAATAAAAAGAGATTATGCTAATATCGCCCACCTGGCTCAGCCCCAAGTCATCCATCAGTATTCTGCTTTGCTCCAACTCACTGTCGTGGTGCTGATGCAGAAACAAGCTTGATATAGGAGTCGACGCAGAGCAAATGACACGCACCTGAAACAAGGATGTGAGCCAGTGGTGTTACTCTACCCTTCACATGTCAAGGTAAGGATGGTCTCTTGCAAAACAAAGAACTGTTCGTCCCATCTGGGAGCTTGGGCCTTTGCTTTTAAAATGCCCTTACACCCTCCCCATCCTTACACCCTCCCCAATAGTTTGTCTTTTTAAAGCAGTATTTTAAAACTGAATAGTGCTTTTTTTTTTTTTTTTTTGAGTCAGAGTGTCTCACTCTGTTGCCCAGGCTGGAGTGTGACGGCATGCTCATGGCCACTGCAGCCTCAACCTGCTGGGCACAGGTGAACCTTCCACCTCAGCTTCTAAGTAGCTGGAACCATAGGCATGCGCTACCACGTCCAGCTAATTTTTTTTCGATTTATTGTAGAGATGAGGTCTCACCATGTTGCTCAGGCTGGTCTCAAACTCCTGAGCTCCAGCAATTCTCTTGTCTCTGCCTCCCAAAGTACTGGGATTACAGGCAAGAGCCACCATGCCCAGCAGTGCTTTTCAAAATGTTACCACACAGCTGATACCACCCCATGCGAAGGGAGCAAAGATTTTTCCTGGGAAATGTCAGGCCTAGGCAGCTCAGGTCTTCTGGTTTTCAGTTCAGTACTTTTTACATTATTTCTGTGGTTTGAATGGTTTTTTTTTTTTTTTTTTTTTTTTTTTTTT